ACCTCTATGTTGACTTAGTGACAATCTATTTCCATTCCCTTATCGCCTCTATGTTTACTTTGTGCTGCTCCAGATGCTTAGCTTCGGACTCGAACACCCTTTTGCGTAGCCTCTTGTACTTCACCTGTGCCTCAGCTACTTCATCTATGATCCTATCCATTAGATTGACTCCTGGTTTGACGTCCCCAGCTACGTCATCTTCCAGCCATGATAAATAGTAGTACATATGGCCGGCGTGATACCTGTCTGGCTCAATAGTTTCTCCTTACACAATGATCCTTTGGTTCCACATGTGTTGCACTTCGAACTTGAATGGGATGACATCTCCCTTGAAATCAGCCTTGTACCGAACCATGTTGAAAACCCGAGGCATGACTTATTTTCTTTCAGTTTGCCTCATTACCCTTATAGGAGCGTAAGGGTAGATGCTCGTAGCCCGATCAGTACCAAGTGAGTAGTCCTTTTTGACCTAATGATAAACTCGCTACTAGGAAACCACTCAAATATCCAATGCACTTGCTCGTCTGTCAAATTGCTGAAGAAATGCACCCAACCCACCGCATTTCCAGGCTTTGAAAATATGTCTAGAATAAACGTCATTTTCTTTGGGTGATGATTAACTATGTAGTTATTCAGTGGCCTTCGCAGAAGCTGTTGACGATACTCACCGCTCTGAAAGTGTTCCAACATCCAGACTTGTAGCAATAGATTGCAACCCTCAAAGTGTCTGAATCTATGCTTGCACCGATCCAGAGCACGGTATATCTCAGCTAAGATCATTGGGACGATAGTATAAGCTTGTCCCTCGATGCCATCCATTAAGGTCCTGGCGACCATGGCTAAGTGAGTGTGAATCCTTCCTTCTTGCATCGGAAAGATCAACAACCCCAAGAAGAAGACAATAAAAACATAAACCCAGCGATGCACCCATCCTAAAGAAGTAATGGCTAGTTCATCATGATGAAGACGGTATAATTTGCTATGCCCATAGCGCTCGTAAAGAAACTCAAAAGGGATGTATGATTTCTTTAGACAGAGCAGTTCATCATTCTTCTTAAAACCCAACATTTTCAGAAAACAATGGGGAGTACGATTTTCTGGCACTAGCAGTCCCGGACTATCCCATGGTAACTTGGCAAAACCCCATATTCTTCCAGGAGAGGAGTCGTTTCTATATTGCCAAATCGAAAAATAGCTCTTTTCTCGTCCCAGAACATGGTAGCGGCCTCAATCAATTCCATGTTTGGTTGAATACTCAGTAAAGACAGCAAGTTACCCAATACTCTCCTCACATGATTTTTATCACAAGGTGCGAGGTCTTTCCACCAATCAATTAGCAATGGCGGGATACTTTGGACCATACCTAACCTGGGGACTTCGTGCTTCATTTTCTGCAAACAAATAAAAGTTATCCCTTTCCCCCCTTCTAGATTCAACTATTTACGCACTAACGATCAGCATGTTGACACATTTTCTCCAAATAATACACATAACATGATAGTGTCCTTTGGGATTATGGAAATTTCGTCGGACTTTGGACAAGGTTTTATCTAAGCGGGTTGTTACGTCAATGACATATTAATCCGTACTAGGTTCATCATGATGCATGTACATTTCAAATCGGAATGTGATTTCTAGAAAGGTCTAGACTAGTACTCTCAAGTGGACAACTTGAGAGAGAAAGGCACGGAACCGTCGACTGCACTGTTGATCGACTAGTCTACCGCAAATAAGTCTTTCCGGTTTAAAAGGGTATTCTTAGGAAAGCGCGGACACTCATCAAGCGCCACTATGTTGATAATAAGCACGAGTGGAGTATGATGTGGAGCATGCTTTATGAAGAAATAGTAACATGTTATCAAGTATTTGCATGATAAAAGTGCATAAAACAGTAAATAATATGGTAAAGATGAACAGGAGAAGGAAAAGAAGAGAAAATAAAGGCAAAAGAGAGAAGTCAGTTTAACTCATGAAAATGTGCGAGAACATAGTGAAGCAGATAGAGAAATAGGGATGGGAGAGTCATGATATAGCAGTCTTAGACAATATGAGGGAAACGGGGAGAGGACGTACATGTAATAGAAAATAAAGGGAAATAAGGGAGGGGACGTACATGTTATAGCAAATTAAACAAATAAAGGAAGATAAGGAAAATGATGTACATGCAATAGAAAATTAAACAAATAAAGGAAGATAAAGGAAGAGATGTACATGTCATAAATATATCCGTTAATCCACATAAGTCAACTTCGTTATGATAAGAGCCTAAGTGTAAATCCCTAGCAGAAACGACATATTGTCGCGCCCCGTTTTCTCACGAAAGCGAGTTTCGACGTATGACAACTCTTTTAAGGGAGGTATTAAAATTGTGTTACAATTCAAAAAAGAGCTCTAGTATAAATAAGAGCACTTTTAAAATTGTTACCGGATAACAACTGCTACTCCCACACACTGTGAATGCCTCAAACGTGTCAAAATCTCCTCGAGTCGCTAGCTTCTCGAAAGAATGAAAGCAAAATTTGGAGATAGTGTGGAGCTATCTTGTAAAAGTCCAAAAACGGATGAAAAGGCATGCTGATTAAAATTGTCGCTTTGTTGAATACCAAGTTAGGGATAAAGTAATGGTGAAAATCCCAAAGTGATACCTATTTGAAGGGGTCCATGACCCTCACCTATTGCAAAGGTACATTGGACCAGTCCATTAAGACGTGCATTGGGAAAGTTGCATACCGGGTGGATACCCTAGCCTGGTGAAAGATTCATTCAGTCTTCTATGTCAGCCTTTTGAAACCTTTTTGGGAAGACATGGAGGATCCTTCGCAGAGCCAACTCACAATACTAATATTTGAGGCCTCAAATCAACAGGGAAAAGGCGTGCATAAGCTATTCTCAATGATCGAGTTATTCACGCTTCAAGGAGAGATCACCAGGAGTTCTTGGTGAAGTGGCACGACTATGATATAGAGGAGAATACTTGGGAGAGGGGAACAAACTTCAAAGCCTATAAAAACCTAAGTGATGATTATCTTCCAAGTAAGACGTCGAGGACGTCGCCAACTCATGTGGGGGAGAATGTCATGGGTGGCTTTCCATCCATGCCCCATGACCTCCAGGATGCGCCTCATAGTGTCCTGGTAAGCCTCCCAATGCCTAGCGCGATGGACGACCCCGTGGTCTTAGCCGCACCAAGTGACAAGTGTATCTGTGCCTATGTCACCCCAGCAATAGCCCACGCCAGTGGCCAGTCGCAGGTCTGACAATAACGCCCCTCAACAGGCCGCGCCCTAGCGCGCGCCCGTCGTTAGCGCAATCGACCTATGGCCTGTGGCCAACGTCGTGCGCGCATACCCTGATACTAAAGACAAGGTTGCAGCCCCTCCAAGTGCTGCCAATGGACCTGCTTTTACTTTGTAGGAATCTAGGTCTCATTTGTTGTAAATATAGAGTAGTATTACTTCCTGTATTTCCATTATGATTCTCTAGCTTATTTATGTCAAGTCCTATAACTTTGGTTTATTTTTTTAAAATATTATTTTGGGGATCAAGTAGTCAAACTTTCAGGCAAGCAAACAATTCTCTATATTGGTGTCTCTCCCCCTCGACACCGTGTTGCTTTTCTGTAATAGCTTTCATTAATTCAATCAAGTTTTCTTTCATTCTCATTCTCTTTTCTGTTATCAGGGGCAGCCTTCCCTAAAGCAAGTAAAGCAACTACTTTAGGTCCCATATTTGTGGGAGGCCTATTTTTTATTACACCTTATATATATATATATATATGATCTTTGAAGTAGAAAGATTTGATTTCTTTCTTTAACAAATATAGAGAAGAAAGATTTGCAACTGCTATGATTTCTGCCAAGAAAATCACATTTAAAATGAATATTGAACTCGAATTTTGTATGAAACATTTGAATATATAGGAAGAAACAATTTGATGAGAATGTTGATAATAAAATCTCAAAATCTCTCGAAGAGTCATTTAAAGCTGATTACTTTTTATACCTAGTAGAAAAGACTATTTTTTTCACTTCAAAATAGATTTAAACAATTCAAAGAATATTAAAATATTTTAGATTTTTTATATAGCGGTAAAAAATTGAGATAACTAGATGATAAAGATTTGAAAAAAATATTGCCTTAATATTGAATGTTCCCTAAAGCATAATAACCAATCTGATATTGATGGTTTAGATTTATTTTCTGAATTAAAAGCGTTATGAAAAATAGTACAATTTGAAGATAACAGTTTAATTAATATACTCAATCAAACAAAAAGATTTTATTCTTTCCTATCAATATATATGTTTTTTGGGAAATTCTTAGGAAAACCGTAGTCGCTACCCTTCAGGTGCGCACTGGGTAATCTGCTCACTGTGCAATAGCTCGCAAACCACACAGAAAATGTAAACCGCACTAGGCAAGTCCAGTGTGACGAGCTCTGACTGAGGAGGCTGCTGGTGAGGGGAATGGATTCTAGGTCTCCCATGTGGGAAACCACTCACCCAACCAATTCAATCAACTCTTGCGGGCTCCAAATGCATATAGTGTTTATAGAATAATGTTAATAACTTATATTACCGTTGCTCGTGGAAAGAAATTTTTCAAAATTAAAATTGATAAAATCTTACCTATGATCATCAATTCTCAAGAGAAGTCAAATGGATTAGCTATATTGTCAATTGAGAAAGACTTATTAGGAGAAATTGATTATAAGAAAACTACTAATAACTTTGTATCTAAAAAAAAGTTAGAAAAATATATTTCAAATTAAAAATTATATATATATTTTTAAAAAAGTTAGATCATTTGTAAAGTTTGACTTTAGGCCACAAAATTTGTCGGACTAGCCCCGTTAGGTGCCGCGTAGCAGTAGGTTTGAAAATAAGCTAGTATGGCCAAAGAGCAGATCCTGTAAATTTCCAGAAAAGCAAGTGGCATTTTCAAGTTGCTGCGCAGCCTCGTTCCCATCGACATATTTACTCCTTATATAAACTACCTCACTCAAAACGTAAACCACAGACATTTTTGTCGTTCTTACATATCTCTCTCACACTAAAAACACAAATTCTCTCGCTGCAATTTTTTTATCTGTACAGAAATAAAGGAGAAAGAAAAAAACAGCAAAAAAAGTAATAAATAATTAAATTAATTGCTTGATTTGGTGATTCAGGCGATACAATGTTGTTACGGGGGACGCTTCCGGCTTGCAATGTCGCCGTCAGCGCCTGTAATCAACCCCAAAAAAACAATCAACTCTCTCATAGTTTCTTCAATTTCACTCCACGACGGCAAAAATCCTTATTATCTGCTTCGGTTGCTCGGACCAGTTCAATTATGGCTGTGGCAACCAACGAGCAGAAGAAGGAAGTTGCATATGAGCCTAGCCTTGCTGACCGGCTTAGGCTTGGGAGCTTGACAGACGATGGATTGTCTTATAAGGAGAAGTTCATAGTTAGATGTTATGAGGTCGGAATTAACAAGACTGCCACTGTTGAAACCATCGCCAATCTATTACAGGTCTGCTTATGTTGCAAAAGAGCTTGACTTTTTGTAATGCTAATTTAGTAGCTCTGTCAATGCCACGTCTCTTACATGCAATTGGGAGTTTCAATTTAATTTTGTTACGATGAAATTGACCTTGATGATTTATACTACCTTCATTTCAAGTTATATGGCAAAGTTTGAATAGTCACATAGTTTAAGAAAGAAATGTGTGATCTTAAACATTCTGGTATAACATTTGTGTGAATTTAAAGCATTTCATCAAGGGTAAAATGGAAAGTTTAAGTTAAATTATTTTCAAATTTAGAAAGTTGGCATTCTCTTTGGAATTAACTAAAAAGAAAATGTTGCCACATAAACTGAAATAGAGGAAGTATATTTAGTTAAGTGGAGAGTAGTCACTAGATGGTTTTTTGCTACCAGTATTAGGCTGCATTGCAGTCTGCTTGATGTAGGTCATATGTTCTTGTTTAGGAAAGATGAACAAAAATTTCACGTCGTCGTAGTACGATGAAGTAAATGTGGAAATATAACTTGGTATGAAACTTCCTAGAACATAGAGAAGAATTTGTATAAGTGTAGAAAGTACATTACTAAAAGTATGGTTAAAATGTCCTGATTTTGGTAAGTATAACGTTCTTTCCATTGTACAAGTATCCAACCATAAGTACTAGAAGTGTTTATTTATTACTCTAAACTAATATCACCTCAATTGGAAGGCAGGGCATCCAACTGAAGATTGTATTCAAGGAAAGACCTACAGTAAATAGGAGAGGACTTCTCTCCCCCTTCTTTTATATATATAGAGCTCAGTTCTCTTTGAACTGCTTTCAGAGGATAATAGAAGGAGAAAGCATACTTCACTCAAAGTTTAGCTGATCTTAATATGTTTTATGTGGGTATGAAATACGTTGGCGACAGTATAAATAGCACCAATATAATCATAATAACAGAGAAAGGACAAGATAAATGAACATGAAGATGGTGAAGCTAAGATGGAAGCCAACAAGTCTCAGCGAGGAAAAGGCAATAGAGTGATATTCAGACACCCTAGTAGGCTATTTCTCCACATTCCAAGAGACAAGATCAAATTTAAGAACAAAGCATAGCCCGTAGCAGAGTAATGGGCATCAAGACAACCTGGCTAATCAGTATTTGCATAGACAGGCAACTAAGGACAGTGTAAGAGGGACGAAAGGATACTCCAAGAGATAAGGTACCACGTAAATAACAAAGAACACGCTTGACAGCACAAAAGTAAGAGTCATAGTTTTTGTGCATAAATTGACTCACAAGACTAACGACATAGGCTATATCTGGACGAGTTACTTAGGGGTATTGCAAGCAGCCTTACCATGTTATAATAGTTAGAAGGATCAGACGGAGGAGACCCGTATGGATATGTCGGATAGCCTTGGCTGCAACCAGACTAGATTCTAGTAGCCGCCCCTCTGCCTGGTCTTGCTAGATAGACTGTTTGATCTTTGTTTGTTTGCTATTTGGTAGAAACAGCAACATGTCCCCACTTCAGTGATCACTTAACAGTTTAGCTGTTCTTTTTTTCTGTTTCATAAACCTCTTAGTTGTCAAAGAATACAAACTTTTCAGTCTTTCTCATCATTGATTTGCATTTCTTTACTGCCATATTCTTTCTGAAGTGGTTATTCTGCTATTTTGATGTGCACCAAGTATAGAATGTATTGCAAATGGTTGATTCCTGTAAGTTTTATAAGATTATAGATTTTTTTGATAAGTTATGGGATTATAGGCCTTCTTATGCCTGATGCTCCTAAAATTATTTCTTGGCTGTTCTTTCTTATTTACATGGATACTCTTTGAGCTAATATATACAGTACTCAAAATCTATCATTTAGGAGGTTGGATGCAACCATGCTCAAAGTGTCGGATTTTCTACTGATGGATTTGCGACAACCCTTACCATGAGAAAATTGCATCTCATATGGGTTACTGCTCGCATGCACATTGAAGTATATAAATACCCTGCTTGGTAATCATTTTCTCCCTCTGCAACCATTGATTGCAGTTGTTTATGGTACAAGGCTGTAGCAACCATGAGTTATGTTGGTATGATGTTGAACAGGAGTGATGTTGTTGAAATAGAGACTTGGTGCCAAAGCGAAGGTAGAATTGGGACTAGACGTGATTGGATTCTCAAAGATTATGCTACTTGTGAAGTCATTGGAAGAGCAACCAGGTAAAATCTAGTTAATTCCTCAGCGCTCAAATAGTCCTAAACAAAAAGGAGATTAATAGCACTAAAAGATAGAGTTTCTCATCTAATTCACATCTCCTAGTGGTCAGTATGCTTTAAGGCATGCACTTTTCTGGACTCAAACTTCATCTGTCGTCAAATGAAACTGAATCTTGCTGATACTTATTGTTTTCTATGAATATTTTAGTACATTAAGTATTTCATTGACTTCAGGCACTGTTGTATTAGCATTCTCATGCAACATTGTTTAATATAATTTCTCCGATCGTAGGGAGTTACTTCAAAAGGCTGAAAAGGACCTGGTGGACAGTGTTAACCTTTAATATATGATCCACTGTCTTTATTTGTCAATAACTATTTGGCTGTTTTAAAAGATTTGATTTCCAGGATCAAGATCTAATCTGTAGGATTGTTTGCAATGTCTTCCTTTTCCTTCCTGATTGCTTTTAGTGGTACTTATTAAAATAAGAATTTTCACTATATCTGCTTGCAGCAAGTGGGTCATGATGAACCAGGACACAAGGCGTCTTCAGAAAGTCACAGATGATGTTCATGAGGAGTACCTAGTCTTTTGCCCGAAAGAACCGAGGTAAAGCTGTGATCCTCCTCATTTTCTTCTCTTTCTTCTTCCTACCCATTTCACTTTTTGGATTGCATTATTCCCAAGGACCTAGTGTTTATCGCAAAATGGAATCTGTGAAACTCAACACTGAATGAAATTAATGTGAAATCTGGTGAAAGTTGAAGTATTGAATAAGTTTCATGCTCTGGTGTATTTGTTATGTTGACTATAAGAGAAAGTATGTTAGCTACTTATTTTATCCTGTCTCTATTTCAAGCCTAATGTCCATCTTTGCTTCTGGTAAAGCAAGAATTTCTGGGAGGGCACATAGTGGATTGTCCTTTGCTTCCATGAGGGTTCCTTTCTTTGCTCTCCCTCTCCCTTACACCACTAAAGTTGATGCTACCTTCTGGTCTCGATGTGTCTTCTCTCTTCTCGACCAGCATTAATGGATCGCAATCGATGGGCCTACTTTCGTATTATCATCCACACTGCCCTTTAAGACTTACTCTACTATAACGTCCTTAAGTTCTGGGCCTGCTTTTTGTTGGGGCTCCATTGATGAGCTTAAAAGATCCCTCTTGTTAAGACCATTTTTCTTCTGAGGACTTGCATGTACAATTTTGCGGGTATTATATATGGCTCTCCAATGTCTACGTGGGTGGTTCTTTATACTTCGTAGATTCAAATTCAATATATGACCATTTGGAGAGGTGTCCTGGTGCCACATTGGTAATCTCTGTTCCGTCAGATATCACAGTTGCCTGATCTACAGTTTGGGCACTGCATGATTCCAGGTTGTATTGGTAACTCCGTCAATAATCCTCAAATGAGGTTTCACAAGTTGGATTTCACATTCAGCTTGTTTCCTATTTGAATCATAAATGTGGTAACATCATCCTGAATGGCGATGAGCGCATTGACTTGTTCTGGGACGTCCAATTCCGGACACAAATCCTTGTCCATCTGAGATGAGACCTTGATCTTGTTTGACACAATTTCATTTGGTTTGATATTGCTTCACATCTTTGGTGCTTAATCAAGACCTAAAATCCTCCCTACCAGTCATGGAATCTTCTGAAAATGCTTTCCGACCATAGGCCTATCAGAAAGTAGTCCAACCGTATCCACCTTGTCTCCTTCTCTGTTCCTATCTTCTTGTGTAACAACCATGACAACCAGCTTCCCAGATGGATTTGCCAACTCCTCCAATACCGTTCAGGCGTTCGCCCAGTGGCGTATGCAGGACTTTGTGTAAGCGATGTTGCTATTTGAAGAAGTGAAACCAGAGACGGATCCAGAATTTAAAGGTTATGGATTCAGGATTTCACCGAATGCAATGATCATTAGAGTTACTGGGTTCAGAAATTTAATATTTATACTTATTTATTAGATTTCCTAACACATATATAAGGTGTGAGTCAAAACTACAGGGTTCGGCTGAACTAGTAACTTTAATGGTGCATCCACCCCAGTAACTTTAATGGTGCATCCACCCCTGAGTGAACAAATCACTATAACATGATCATCTTAATAAAATACCTTCAGATACTTTAGTACAATTGTCCTCGACTAGTTTTTATTTTTTCCAAATGTTGAGTCGAGTCGTATCAATTGAAAAAAAAAAAAAAAAAAAAAAAAAAAAAAAATTTGAGCAAAACAAAACAAAATTTTCGTGGGGTATTTTTAAATTTAAAATAGCTTTTGATTCTTGAAACTTATACTTATCTCTAATGATAAAATTTTTAGTTGGAGTTGAACAACATACAAGCAAATGATACAAAGTTTTCTTGGTGTATTTTTAAGAAATTTTAAAAAAAAAATTGATCCTTGAAACTTTATTTATCTCTATTGATGAAGTTTTAGCAAAGCCATATTGAAGCTGTTTTCTTCATTACTTTTATTTGTTTGGGATTTACACTTGTTGATAATATATTTTGGAGTGTGGTGTAAAACCGTAAATTTGAGGCCTGAGGCTCTTGTTTAAAGGGAAAAAAAGCTGGGAAATGCATTTATGAGGATTTGAAACCACGACTTTGCTCTACCTAAGGAGCTAGCATGACCGGATGGACTAGCTGGCTCGTCTGTTAAGCGATTTCATGCTCTATTATATTATCTCATTTACTTATCTTTTGATTATATACCTATATTGAATTTTTTTTGCGACGCTTGTATCAACATAAATCCGCCCCTGCGTTCACCAATCTTTTACTTTTGCTGCCTCTGCTGTAGAAGGAAATGGAGGCATTTGTTGTCTGCTATTTTGTAATCGTCTGTCCCAAGCTACTTTCCAAGTCTTCATAGCCCAGTTCCTAAACTCCTGAGTCCTGACAGGACAGCCACTTGTCATTTAGTCCTTCCATTTCTGCCTCTAGGCAGCCAGTGCATAAGCTCCCGGTTTGCACGGAGTCTAGATCACACAAGGTCTATTGTATGCAGTCTTACCTTACGTTTCTTCAAGAGGTTGTCTTGAAACTGAGACCTCCAGGTCACATGTCGGCAACTCTTATCCTATTTTTTCAAGCAAACCAAATTTAATATTACCAAAACCAATCTTAATCCACTCTGTTAGGATGAATTGTTTTCCAAAAATATTTTAAAAACTAATCTTATCAAAAAAAAAAAATTAAACCCAACTTAAATCTAAGCCTAGATCTTTAATTCTGCAAAAAAAAAAAAAAAAAAAAAAAAAAAAAAAAACCTTTAGTTGAGGTTTGAACCCTTGACCTCTTAGAGCAAAATCAAGCACATAACCAACATACAATTTATGTCATGTGGTGCCATTTTTTCTTAACAAGAGTGGGTTGCTCTAGTGGTGAGAACCCTCCACTTTCAACCAAGAGGTTGTGAGTTTGAGTCAACCCAAGAGCAAGGTGGGAGTTCTTTGAGGGAGTGAGTTGAGTTTCTATCGAAAACTTTGCAATACAAACCAAAGAACTTCATACTNTTAGGAGTGGTGGTAAGTATTGTTACAATTGCACGACTCAGACGACCATCCATTTCCAAGCACTCAGAAACCAAAGGATATTAATTGTTTTTTGCAGCCACGAAGAGCTGATTTGGACATGAATCAACATGTAAACAATGTGACTTACATCGGCTGGGTTCTTGAGGTTTGTAGTAATGCTGCTTCTTTTTCTAGTTAATCATGTAGATGTTTTCAACCATATATGTCATGAAATGATGTTCTCCTCCTATGGGTATTAAAACTGTTCTATCACTGAAACTTTTTGTGCATTACAATATATAGTTAGACTTGTGGAGAGATTTTTAGTTGATGGCCCACTTTTTTCGTGTTCTTCATTATGGTAAATAGTTAGACATGTAAAGAGATTTTAAGTTGATAGCCCTTTAGAAGCCCTACTGTCCATTTATATTATAGGAAGTCATTACCCTTACCCTTTTTGTTACCGAGAAATCCGTCTGGGGCCAACTATTATGACCAACTGCAGCCTTCGGAACTGGGGGATAATGGGCCTGCCCCTCTACCCTTTTTCACTTAAATACCATGCTTAGTTCGCATAGTGCAGGACTCGAACCTGTGATCTAAGTCACAAGTCTCTCAACTTTTGCCACTTGAACCCTGGTGGTGGGAAGTCATTACCGAAAGGATACAGAGAGTTTGTCGACTTCTGCTGGGGTTCAGCCTCAATGCTGGTTGTTGTGAATGTATAGTATTTGACACAAGTTTTTACATGGATGTGGCTACTTTTTCTATTTTGCTAACACAAGTTCTCACATCAACACGGCTACTTTCTCTATTTTGCTAATAAATTAACTTGTCTACATCGCAGAGTATGCCTCAAGATATCATTGACACACATGAACTGCAATCGATTACATTAGATTATAGGCGTGAATGCCAGCATGATGACGTAGTCGATTCCCTCACGAGCCTTGAATCGCTTGAGGACGCTGCTTTAGGGACTAATGGATCAGCTACTGCTTCAAGAGAGATAAACAAGAGCTTCTTGCATATGGTGAGATTATCAGGTGATGATGGACTTGAAATAAATAGGGGCCGAACTGAATGGAGAAAGAAATTTGTTAAGAGCTGAATTTCACAGGGCTTGCATTTGTTGTATTATATTAGGAGTATATTCTTCTATTTTGTCAATTTTTGTGTTTTAATATCTCCTCTTGTTTATTATCAGTATCCTATCTCATCTTCTGTTTTTTTAATTTTTTTTCTTTTCTATTTCTTTCCCTGAGGACCGGGTATATCTTGGTTGTATATCTTTTGATTGGACTGTAATGCCATCCCCTTTAGTTATGCATGTAGACTAACGAGAAAGAATTGTAGTAATTTGGAAATAGTCATTAATTCTTATCAATTCGAAAGACACTATCCATTTTAGAATGTTTCAAGTTATTTGACATAATTTCACTAACAAGATTGTTTCTATACCACTTTCATAAGAATTCAAGTTTATTAATTATTCATGTTTTAAACTTTGATGTGATATTTTTCTCTGTAAAACTAACTTTAGGATAATGATTTTAACCTTTTCATATTAATAATAAGTGCAACGATCCGACCGGTTGTTTTGCTTTCTAGATCCACGTTCCCCTAATTAAGACTCCACGTATGTGTTTTTATTGTTTTATGACTTGCGGGGATGGTTAGTTCGGGTTTGGAAGGATTCGGGTTGAAATCGGAACACTTAGTTCCTTAAGAATGGCTTAAAATGGTTAAGTTTGACTTGAGTCAACGTTTTGAATAAACGACCTCGGAACCGAGATTTGACTGTCCCAATAGGTTCGTATGATGATTTTGGACTTGGGCGTATGTTCGGATCGGGTTTCGGATGACCCGGGAGCATTTCGGCGCTTAATATTGAAGGTTTTTCAAGTTCTTTAAGTTTGGTTTGGAATAGGTTTTGATGTTATCAAGGTCTGTTTGGGATTCCGAGCCTGGGAATAGTTTCGTATGGTAATTCAAGACTTGCATACAAAATTTGGCGTCATTCCGAGTAGTCTAAGTAGGTTCGGCACGTTCGGAGCTAGTTGAGAAGTTTGAAGTTCATAACTTATTTCAATTTGATTTTGGGGTGCGATTCTTAGTTTCGATGATGTTTTACGTGTTTCGAGAGTTCGAGCAGGTCCGTATTATGGCTATGGACTTGTTGGTGCATTTGGACGGGGTCCCGGGTGGTTCGAGTGAGTTTCGGACCGCCCGGAGCTAAGTCCCAGAAATCTGGTGTGTTGGTTTTGGTTTCCTTCTTCGCGATCGCGAGGAATGTGCCGCGTTCGCGGAGAAGGAAAATGTGAGGGGCTGAGATTTGCTCTACGCGTTCGCGACCCCTTGCCCGCGTTCGCGAAGGTTTGGACCTGTGGCCTCCACGTTCGCGTGAACGGGCCCGCGTTCGCGTAGGGAGAAAGGCCTGGGGGGTGTGAGCTCATTCCTCTTCGCGTTCACGAGCTGTACCCCGCGTTCGCGTGTGGGTCCTTGCATTCGCGATGACCTTTTCTTGGGCCCTGGGCAGATTGCCTTCGCGATCGCGATCGCGATGGCTTTTTCGCGATCGCGAAGAAGGGACGCCTGGGAAGTGTCGTTTAAAATGTCGGGACTTAGGCTTTTTGGTTCATTTCTTTCACTTGTTGGACGATTTTAGAGCTCTTTGAAGAGGGGTTTTCACCTAACACTTTGAGGTATGTAATTTCTAAAGAATATGAGTTTTGTTTTTCCCACAAAAGTCCACCATGATGGTGGGGGGTTTAGGTTATACACCCAACCTTTAGATAATCAAAAAGGATAAGTACACGGAGGAGGACATAAACCATAGCCTCCAAAACATGATGGAGAATGATAGTACTCATTCTTGTGTACATCTGATCAATAAGATACTGTCTAGCTTTGGTGGTTACATACTTTACAGTATTTGTACATCGAGCTTCACAAAAGGATGTTATGAGTATAGTTGTAAAAACTATACAAACATCATCACTATCTAAGGCTAGCATCATTAATTACAAAATAGTTCTTCCTTGGTCTGAATCTGAAGTTTGGAATACTCTGCTGATCCAATATCATAATTGCCTTCACATAGTCTGGTAAGGAGCTCTTATTATCAAAGTTAACTCGATTTCTCCCTTTTTCACCCGTGTTTGCTAATTGATCCACAGCCATATTACCCTCTCTGAATGTATGGACAAAACAAAAATTACCATTACTTGAGAGAAGAACAATCTGGTCTATGATATGTTGGATGTGCCAAGGAACCTTCATTTTGTTGTTAATCATGTCTACTATCAATTGGGAATTAGCTTCAACTATTACATTGGAGTATCGACCAGTAATGCACATTTTTATACCCTGAAGCATAGCTTTGGCCTCAGCCATGTTGTTACTACAAGTGCCATAGTAATCAGCAAATGCGAAAATGCAAGCACCTTGACTATTTCTGAGTGTTCCCTCTCCGCCAGAGTTTCCTGGATTCCCTTTACTACAACCATCAGTGTTTAATTTTACCCATCCATCATCACGTTTATACCACCTTACCAATTGGTTGGTAATGACCTGTCTAGCCGTTCCCACTACTGCGCATAAAGCATGCTAAGGCTGAGGAAGAGTAACTTTGGGGAATTGAATATTTAAAAAGAAAGTCATATATTTAGACACTTGTTGAATTATAAACCTTCCAGACATGTGAATGTTTTCAAATCTGGGAGCACACCTACTCTTCCAAATCTCATACAGATAACTAATGGTAGGCATTATAATAAAGCAGCATGGATTTTATTCTTTGTTTTTGCTAGCCACCAACACATTAGAATCTGTCTTATATTTTCCATTCTCAAGGTGATACCACAATATCTACCAATATGAGTTTAATACATGCATTTTGGGTAGATTCTTAACATATAAATTGAAGAAATTATGGGTTTAGTTGAAAAATCTAGGTTTTGATAAAAATGGGATTTAACCACAAAAATAATTATGAAATTGGGTAGAAATTATATATTTGAGTTCGTGAGGTTATGGATAACATTTATCTTCAAAAATTTTCGAAATCCGGACATGTGGGTCCGGGATAAATTTTAAGAATCTTCCAATTTGGGTTGGTAATTACTCTAATAGCTAAATTATGAATATGTGAGTATATATTGATTAATTTATATAATATTTGGCTACCTTCGGATTGTTCGGCACCAAGTTGAGACCTTAGAGTGAATTTGTGGGCCGAAAAGTAAGCTTTAGGACGGGGTAAGTCTCCAGCCTAACCTTGTAAGAGGGAATTTACCCCATAGGTATTTTAAATTACTATTTGATTCTAATTGTGGGGGCTACGTACGCACGAGGTGACGAGAGTCCGTGTGTAGCTACAAATTATGCTTAAATCCTGTAGTTTTAGCACCCAAATCATGAAATACTTATATTGTCTGCACTCTACTTGTTAATTTAAGTGCTTAAATTATATTGAAACTTGATAAAGGGTTCGTAAAGATCGAATTTCACTTACTTTGAATTTTAGGCGGGTTACTTGACCGTTAATAGAAATTGTGCTTCCTTGTGTATTAATCTTGTAATAGCTTTTAAATCGGATGTTCGTAGAGTATTCTCTCTTCTTGTGGAGCGGGCCAAATGCCTCGGCGGTATAATAGATGCATCTATGGTTCGTGTCGTTCGACCCTCGGCAATGTACACCTTATTCTGAATTGGGCCGTACGATCTCGGTATAAATCGTGTATGATAATGTTCAGAGCCCGATTACACTTGATATTATATTTATGACTTGAGAGGTTATAATTTATTTATTGGCTCGAAACTTGTTGGAGTTAGTACGTGTCAGTTGGAGATTTTTAAATTGATTATTAGTTAAGGAATCATTTATTCACTGCTTGCTATTGTGTTATTATTATTATTCACGTATTCCATGCCTATTTAGAATTTCTGTATTTTAAATTGTTGGCACATAGTAAGTGTCGATGTCGACCCCTCGTCACTACTTCGAGGTTAGACTAAATACTTACTGGGTATATATTGTTTATGTACTCACGCTACACTTCTGCACTAATCGTGCAGGATCTGAGGCAGTGCATCTTGCATTCATTCAGGCGCGCACCCCCGTTACCCTGAGGCATAGTGGTGAGCTGCTTTCTGAGTTTGTTCTGCAGCACCCGCAGTCTCTCTTTTGTATTTACTTTCTGTCTATCTTATTTCAAACAGTAGCATATGTGTTTTGTATGTTCTACAAGTTGTTCATACACTTGTGACACTAGGTCTTGGAAACATGCTAGTAGACACTTTATGGTTTTGAGTATTTATTTCTCTGTATTTGCTCTTTCATTAGTTTATGCCTTGCTTTACTATAATTTTTCACTTCTTATCTACTTAATAAATAAATCAACTAATTTGAAATTATTAAAAGAATAAACACATGACTAGTTCACCGTTGGCTTGCCCAGCGGCAACGTTGGACGTCATAACGGCCTAGGAGAAATTAGGTCGTGACAATAAAATATATGGGTTAGATTAACATACTAAATCTGGTTTCAATTTAATAAATGTGACGTAAGGAGTATAATTTTTACGAATATCTAGAATTTAAATCTATTTGATCGAGTCTCTCTTTCAAACTAGCTTTTCCGTTAGTTTTTCTTCAAACTCTACCTGGAACCTTTTCTTCAAACTCTACCTGGAACTTCTATGTCCAATCCAATAGTGCAATGTGTATCTAGAAACGGAGGGGTCGATTATTTTCAAAAGGAATTACTCCAAGTTATACTCTGACGGCATAAATTTTTATAGCAGATAATAGAGCCTACTGAATTGTATAACTTTTCCATATTAGAGCACCTTTTGGTTTTAGCTGGTCATTAACTTCCACTGATACATTTTGGTAGTTGGTTGGAGTGGCTTTAGGTAAGAATGATCTGCAGTTACCCATAGTGATTTTCACCTACTTGATTTTACTTCTTTGCGACAGTATATTTTCAATCTCAGTTTATTACAGCATTTTCTAAAAAGAGGATGCTTATTAATTTCAATACTTAATAGGCATTTGCCCATTGAATGGACTTATTTATGCGTAATTCTCAAATTTGATGCTCGAAAATCTCAATATGAAACCGAAAACGAGCAAAATCTCAAGTCAAAGTCTGTAGAATTGTGTGAACCATCTTTTTTTTTAAAACTTTAAGTGCATAGAAAAATGACATTTTTTTTAATTAAAGCCTACAGCACATCCCATGAACTCCTGGGTTATTATATTGTTAGCCAAACTTAGTGAAAAATGTGTTTAACAGATGGATATCAGATGCAAATGAAATTCAAACTC